AGTGTAAGAAAAAAATAAATGTGCAAACGTCTGTTTCTCCGCGTAGGGGCGAACGGTTGGAACTATTATTGCCCTTGTTTATGTATTCACTTCCGCGCGTTTGTAACCTGTCTAAATAACGAGCCGACGACCGGGAGCTGCTAGTGTTGCTGCATTACGGCTGGTTTTGTAAACTTTCTCAAACTGGTCCACGTATCCTTGGGACTTGGAGTTGCAACAGTGCACCAACCAAGCCGGAACGCAGGAGTGCAAGCGACTTCAGGTGCTCTAGGTCATCAGGAAAAATTGGCAGAAAAACAAAATCTCTAGGCCTGAGGCTGAAGACGAACACTTAGCCGATCTCGCGGATTATGCCATCCTGCAGGCAGGTGCAACAAGTGGATGCATCATCGCATCAGTGTCGTAATATTTGGAATTCCATCGTGTTCGAGACCCTCGCCGACGTTCTCCTCGACCGTTCCTCTTCGGATCTGGAAATGAAGCACTGATTAGAAACGAATTCGGGAATCGAGTACAGAATTCATTCTAAAGAGACATTACAATTATTGAGGAAAACCGAGGAATTCCATAACTCGATAATGAAGTTCTTGAAAACGAATTTCCTGTTCTCGGTACAGGAGGATTTTTGCGCGACCTTTGTTTTAGGTGTGCCCTGTGGTATACAATGAAAATGCGTAAACGCAAGCCCAACCGTACTTTGACTCGAAGTTATAAATACAAATGATCTAAAAACGTAATGCATAAGTTCTCTTTTATCCGAGAAATTTTTATTCACAACCGGTGTGGCACTTTTGGAGGGGTAACTGGCCTAAGTGCGTGCGCTTGGAATATAAAAAATCCTCATTTCCCAGGTACGATTAATCTGTCATTTCGGCCGTTAATCGAAGGATCGTTCACTGGGAAAAAAAGTCATTTACAATTTTATGGATTCCTTTTCCATGCTGAGTATGATAAACCTGTGATGTCAGGGCCCTAGAGAAGACTCGAGGTCTGGGAAATAATCGAAAAAACTTCGATTGAGTTTCGATTAATTATACCGACCTCTTCGAAATACACTTAAAAGTTTTACATTTGCATCATAACTGACGCACATCAAGTCTAGAAGGTTCGGTCATTAATGTTCTCGGTGTAGCGATTTATTCCCTGTTGGTGAATTAATCGAGACCTTGACTATGGTTCTCCTATACGTAATTCCGACTTCGAGAATGTTCTAAAAATTATGTATACAAACAAAGGGTTCACTGGCATTTGAGAATATCTACTCAGATCTTGGATGTGTGCTCAGATTAATTTTTAATGCCCTCGCGGAAAATCACTACCAAGTCTTAACGTCTCATAATCGAACAGTCCGACTGTACGACTTGTTAACAAATATTTGCGTTCTCGTGACCATACGTAAGTGCAAAACAGTAATTTCCTTTTTTTTTCCGGCAAATTATCTCTAATCACGGTAAGCTATGAATTATTGAGTTAGAATACCTTAATCGTTCATTTTATCTTGCATTATGTTGCAGTAACGCATTATCGTCTCTTACTTTGAAATTCAAATATGCAAAGCGAGATATATTGTACGATTGACATATAAAAAATTGCTCCGATTCACTTCAAAGTCAGTGTTATTGGCGCCGACAATGTTAGGAGACTAGTTTCTAGGATAGGCACTATACTTCTTCAAATATATAATGTAACAGACAGGGTCCAGTCCAAAGTCCACATTGCCAATAAGAAGAAGAAATGTAAAACCGGTGTCAGTACATGTGAATTAATGTTGAGTAATCGAGTCCTCTGGGTCCAGGATCACGGACTTCGCCCCCAAACTATCCGAAACAGGTCCTTGGCTTCCTTTGGCGTCAAATCTTTTTTTAGCGAATATTTAAATACAACATGCTTGAGATCAGCTCCAGAATTCACGTTCTTTTCCGTCATCGTGCTAAAGATCCTGCAAATCGCGATGCACAGGACTCTGAAAAAAAAAAACCATTGAATAACTTCCATTCCCATCTAGCTAACCACACACTGCGAAAGAAATTTCGTTGAACCAAAGAGATATTTTGTTAATTTAAGAATTTCACCCAGATGAACTCAAATTAATCCTGATAATCCCGAAGAAAGTTTGCATCCAACTGATTGAAATTTATCCGAGTCAAATAATTATTCCCTGAATTGATAAAGAAATATTTCATTGGTTCAATGAGATTTTGCCTCGGTGTAAAATATAGCACCTACAAAAAGGAGAGTGATGAGATTGAGGCGATAAAATTCTGACGATAAAAATTTCAGTGATAAAAATCTGTTTATGACATCCTGTCGAAAAAGGTGTGACGATGAATTTCTAACGCTAATATTCTGGCTATAAAATTCGGGCGATGAGATTCCATTGAAAAATTCTTTCGTGAAAGTTTGTAGAAAGGAAAAAAGCAGATATTATTTTGCATCAAATAATCGCATACGTTTTATCCCGAGATTCGGTAATACCGATTCCTAGAGAGCATTTCAGTCTTCCGGGACATTTTCCTTCGATATATGCCAATCATTAGGAAAACGATTGTTCACGGTCGAGCGGCGTCGACGAAATCGCCGGATGAGCAACCACAAATATTTTCCCGGCATTAGCGAGGAATTAAATAAACTCCTGAAGTTATTAGCGCCCAGGAGACGGGCGTCAGTGGTGTGCATCTAATGTCAAAGGATATTGCGTTAAACATTAACACATTAGCTCAAACGCATGATCGCGATTTGGCGAGGTGGAAAAATTACACTGTTAAAAAGATTCATAAAATTCATACACTTTTATTACATAAGGTTGGGATAAAATAAAAAATGTCATGTCTTAACAGTGAATTCCTATACATTTATTATAAAATTCTAAATAAATTTACAATTTTGTAATACCGTGTTGGAGTTTTCGGAAATTGCGGAGAAAAATGATAAATTTGACATTCGAGAGTCATTTAGTACGCATTGTTTGCAAATTTTTCAGATTAGTTTTTAATTTTATGATCGTTTACGTAAGTTTACTTTTAAAGAAATTTAATCGATAGATAACAAGAGAAGCATTGTCATATAAGGTGTTTTCGAGGTATAAAAAACTCATTGAAGAGTGATTAATACATTAATTACCGAAGATCCTATTGTGTCGGAAACCTGACGATTAAAAAGGCGGATGTCAATCAACGCCGGCAAAAAGCTCGATATTTCATTGTATAATCGCGAGGCGTTGCTCCGAAGCGTGTTGCACTTTATCGCTTATTTTTTGCGGTGACATAACTTTTTTCTAGACCGAGTCATCCGCCTCAAACGACTGCCGTGATTGCCGCATTAATTAGCGGCGGATCTGAGACTAGTCTCAGGGTCGTCTCAGGGAATCGACGAAATTAAGAATGTCGCGACGATCTTCCGGTCGAACTTTAGTTAACGAAAAAATATTGACCCTTTTTGAATTCTAATTTTACCCACTTATGGAAAATAAACAACCTCCGAAGCATTTAGCATTACGACTCCATTACATCAGGAATTAGCTAAAGCAAAAAGCATAAGAACGTAAGCAACCCGGATAAAGGATGTTGAATTAAAAAATTAACGACCTAATGTTGATCACTTTATAGACCCGGAAAAGAGATGCATTAAACCAAAGGAATATTTCGTCCATTCAAAATGTACAATTATTTAATTCAAATAAACTGTGACAATTCCGATGAAACGTTTCATCCAATTTATTCGAATTTATGTAAGTGACATAATTTTATCCTTTGAAGTAACAAAATATTTCTTTGGTACTAATGAAAGAAATTTGTTATCTATCAGTTGTATATTCGAAGATCTGGCATTGATGGAGATCATAATCATAAAAACTCCGCTGAATCCACGTAATGGATGGACCACTTTCTTGGGGACTTTCCACTATTTTTCGGCTGGACTGAATCATTAATCGTAACGGCAAAATCCATGGACCGGTTCATCCGCTCATTGCCTGCTCAACTAAAACCTTAGGCATCTGCATTTGTATTTCGAATGATTCCATCGAATATTCGAGATTTAATTTGCATCCGGCAACGTCAATGATTGATAACCAGTCTCGATGCTCGACATTCTATGAACTAATCCCAACATTCCTTGCACTCGTGCCGCTGCACCTCCCACAAAGAAAGGAATTAATTTCTAATGTCAATGATGTCTTTATAAAAGTAAAAGTGATTTTTCCCTTCAAAATAAATTATGATGAAGATTCATTTTTTTAGCTATTTACAGGAGAATTATGATTATCCTCGAAGGGCATCATAGTCTAGTTTTGCAGAAATCTGGAGTTTACCCTTTAATTGCAAAATACGTACACATACGTTGAACAATTGGTCCACTATTGCTTGAACGTATTCATGAATTTCGCCCATACGTTGAAAGGACTCAACGATTAAAAAGTTGATTTTTCTCTAGAGCAGCTTAGAACGAAAGATGATCCGATGATTATGAACAATAACAACACAAGGGAAATTGCTATCGTTTTAAATTTCAATTAACTCCATTCAACCAACCCTAGGACTCACTTTGTCGACAGCAGAAATTAAAATTGTTGCGACAAGAATTCCTTTATTTATAAAAGAATTTTATGTTACGCTCAGTGGATAAAATGTCACTTAACCTATAAACATAAATTTAGTGATTTTTACCGAAAATTTTTATTTCCAATATTTTTTCCTATATACTGACAGACATTATGGGATTTTCATTCCCATGAAACGAATCCACGTGGAACGGATACTCCGCGTAAATTGAGGGCCGCCTGTATATAGATTTCGAGCTATGTACCACATTATATCTTCCCAGGGTATATCAACAATGACAAAGTCCCGCAACCTGTCGATCCGAGAGGACGTCAACGGGTTAACCGGGTGCAGGTTGGTCCGACGCGGCGGTGGAGGGGCGGATAGTACGGCGCGGTCGGTGCGCGATCCGGACCGGAAGGCGTCGCGAACAGACGCGATATAAGACCCAGCGCCCTGCCCGAAGAGACTCCAGTTGGTGGCCGAGCGAGCAACGCGCTCCCTTCTCAGTCTCGAGGTCCCGCGTGGTCGGTTTGCGCGCATCTCGCTCGGCGATTGGTCATTCGCGCGGCGCCCTCTCGTCCTGTCGCCTCGCGGTACGCTCTCGAGTATCCCTCGCCGTCAGAAATAGACGGGTTCGAGAACCCGTGGTCGCAGGCTTCGCGCACCCGGAGACGTCGAAAGCTCTCGACGCCCCCCGACGAAGAGGTTAGGCCTCATCCCGCACCCTCCTCTCTCTCTCGGCGCGGAGGAAAATAGCGCGCGCGGGCGCGCGCTCGACTCGGCAGGGTGAGTATCCTCCTGGAAATGGCCGAATTCGGGCAGCCTCCCCCGCGGAAAAGTCCCGGCATCCCCCGCGGCTGCGCGCGCACCGCGCCCCGCCATTGACGGGGGATCGACGCGAGGGAAGCGCGCCGCCATCTTGGAAATCCTTAAGCCCACGTGATCGCTCCTTTTCGGTGGATCGATTCGCGTTATACGGGGTGGAATCCCTCGATGAAGAATTTTTAACAACGACTCGTACACTCGGAGAGGTTCTTACTAGACTGGTTTTCGAGTTTCCGGGACGGTGGGGCTGGTGAAGGATCGGTAGGAAGCGGAAATGCTATTTCTTCCCGGTCTTGCGCGACGCTTTCAGAAGCTGTACGCTTACTACGCGGCCGCCATCTTGGAAATCTCGAACCCCACGTGGGTGACCTTCCCGTATGACTACTTTCCAGATAAAAGTGCAAGTAGTACGAGGCTTTTTTTTTCTTGTGGTAAGTATCGGGTGGTTATATAAAGTGGGAGAGTGCACGAGACTGGCTAGGTTAGGAAAATCTTAGAGACAGGAAGGGACGTTTTGCAACTTCCGTCTGACTATTTCGCGGCTGAAATTTAGATAGATAATGTGCCGGACCTGACGGGGCTTGGAGATAAATCCAATATGGTATTTGGGACATTTCCGGCCATTCTCCTTGTTCATTTGACGGGTAGACTGGTCTTTAATACCTTTACTAGCGCGGAACATTTATCTCCGAACAAAGGGAATAATACATTTACTGTAATGTCGCGCTCACTCGACTTCGGGGAAAGAGACGCGAAATCGAATAAAGAGGTGTTTTTCTGCTTCTAGAAATCGGGTGTCGTCCTAAATTTAAATATATCAGCAAATATTTGATTGAAATCGGTCGTTTCTACCGACAGGAAGAATTCCGTTCATTGACTACACGACAACGTCCTTGGCTCGATATTGCTTCGCTTGGCGATGCTTTTATTATTCTCGAACGGAAGAAATTCTCCAAGGCTGTTGGATAGTTGGTTAGGTTAGGTTACTCCACCTGCTGCAGTTACAAAGAGCACAACAACGATACCTGGTCCGACCATCAATTCCTGCCGGATACAGTGCAAATGAACTGCGCAAAACTGGCAGGAAAAGATGCAGATCCCAAGTCATAAAATTAAAGATGTAAATAACAAACAAAAAAAAATGTTCCAAACCGAACTGTGCACAATTAACTCTCAGGGTGGAATAAGAAAGAATAAACTCACGACCGTGGATTTTTTCCGGGTGGCCAGTCGGATTTTTTCTAGAAAAAAGTTCGCAAATTCGGCCGCTTTTATTCCATTATTCGTCGCAGGATTTACTTATAGTCATGACGTCCGTGGGTCCATTTCAAGCGACTCGAGGAAAAAGGAATTGCTAAATTCGTCTTCTTTTCTTGTATTTTATTATTTATCGTAGTTGTCGAGGTTTAGTAGTGCGTCCACGGGCTTGGTGTGCGCGCGCCGGGCTGATTCCCTTTCTAACAATTATTATTCTAAATTTAACAATCATAAATCCCATGAAAACTTCCTTTCACTCGACATCGTGAAAGGCGCGGTCCGCGCCGGAAGTCGATTCATTATCCTAGGCGCGTGTCGGCCGAATTGATGTCTATTAGTTCAATGTTGAGAAAATTCAAAAGGCACAAGTTAGGTTAGGTTTCATATGGACCACCATGCGAGACGCACATGGTAGTCCATATGAAAATGACGCACGGTACATGGCAATGAATTCCCGCGCAATATTCGCAATTTCACACGTGCTCGCTCTTATTTGAAAACCGTAAACATCAAATAGCACAATAACTCTCTGTACAATCTGATAACAGAAAATTTTTAAAGACTCGGGTTAGGGTGGCCACTCAAGTAACGATAAATCGTAGCAATTTGTGATCGGGGAAGTTAAATCGAGTCCTTCCATAGCGTCCACGCATCAACCACGTTTCATAAATCCAAACAAATCTGCTATTACCATTACAATTTTCCTCGAGTAGCCGGCATCACTTAGGGTACATCGATCGCTTAATTCACGTACTTATATTAAATTCCAAGTGTAAACGACAATCTCACACCTTTAGTGCGCGCGGTAAAGGCTTCATATCAAATAATCGTTTACACCGAAAACTAGGTACAAAGTACGCCCGCGGTACTCGTACAAAGTCGAACTAAATTCACGCGGTGTAAACTAAGGACAGAGGTATGTCCACGAGATACATGGCAATGGATAACAAATAATGGCAATAATCGCAAGTAATGGCAGTAATGACGAGAATCGCAACTCCGCGAGGCACGTGCTCGCCTTGACGTAATCGCCGCCGCCGTGCAGTTTTGTCCTCGAGCTAATCAATCGCTTTGGGAGGATTCCTCAGGGCTGAGTTGCCGGGATAATTCTGGGAACATGAGAATAAGAGAAGGGAAACGGTGTCGATTAGAGAAATCCTCGGCGAGTGGACGTGCTGACGCGTGCTCTCCTGGGCCGATAGGGCTTTGGCGACTTCCTCGTGGCGGATATACTCCGAGTTAACGTTCTTAACCTTGTCCCCCCCCCCCTTTACAGAGAATTCCGCAGGTGCGGCACTTTTCGCTTGATATTTCGCGAAAACTGCGACTCGCCGAGTCGGCGCGCCGCCCTTGAACTTCTGGACGCGAGGTAAGCCTCGTCGGTCGTTGGCACCGATTTCGATCCGATCAGCTCGGGCAACGACTTATGGGTTTCGTGGTTGAGTAAGAGGAATCCTGAAATACGTCGTGTCGAAATGGGAAAATCGATAGGAATAATGGAACTCGATAATCCTCCTCTCTCATCGGCCCCCTGGTCCGCGGTCCTCTCTTTCCCCCGTTTTCACTTAACCTCGTGCGGCAGAAAATCTCCATTAAGTTGGAGGAACCAACCAAATCGAGATTCGCAACCTGAAAAAATCGACACGACTGGAAATTAAACGGAAACTCCAAGCTGGTAAACGGGGCTGATAACAGAATATGGAAACCGAATGATGATACGTGTGCGATAGGTTAAATGGCAGAAGTGGATGGAATGGAAAATTTCATATATATATATATATATTAATCGTTCGTTAAAGAAATTTCCGAGGAACAAGGAGAATTTTTTTTTTCTTTTCTTTCAGATCATTTTGTGGAAATCGTGGATGACATGGATCGTGCCGGTTTTAGATCGAAAGATGTTGAAAAGTGAAGGGTGAGAGAGCGCGAGGCGGGTACAAAGTGTAGATCGCACAAAGCGCAATTTCAGTCATCGGCTTTGCACCTGACTCGATAGTAAATTGCGGTTAAGCCTAATGCCGAGAGCCCCGGTCGATGCTCGACTCCTTTTACAGGCCGAAATTGCCGATCGATTTCCCTCGTCGAGCTTTTTCGCTCCTTCTCGAGAAACTGCTTGTGCGAGTCTCTTTGTCGCCGTCCTTGGTGAACACCTTCTGTCGGCCTCGGTTACTGGGTCGAATCGAGTCGGCCAAAAAACCCGGGAAACGTTCAAGGAACCGGCAAGACCGGATCATCCTCTCGGGACCAGAGAGGAACCTCCGGTTCCTGCATCCCGAACCATTCTCCTTCGTTCGCTTCCCTCTTCCTGTGACCGAGGACTTGCCTTACTTCCACTCTCTGCATCCCGGAATATTGCTATTTTGATCGTTTCTCTCGTTACACCAATGGACAGACTTTAGATAATCATTCCTGGTAATTTCGCTGACTCGTTACTCGAAATTCCATCTTTGAGATTCAATGGCTGTGGACAATCGACGTTCGGTTAATGTTTTAATTTTTAGTTCCTTTGCGTAATCTATCACGCGGTAAAATAATTCACGGTAATGACTTTTATCAGCAATACTGTCCTTTGCTGAAAGTGCAAATTTTCATTTTTTCTGGGTACCCACAATCTTCTTGTCCGAAGACCCGGAGAATACATCAAAACCAAATTTAATTATTTCTTTTTATATACAACAATTGACATATATATATGCATATATAAATGCCAAGAACCAAAGTTTTATGCAAATAAAAATAAAAGAATATAGCGGGATCATGAGAGGCCCCTTACGGTAGAAATTTAGAATGTTTCAAACTCGGTGATTACTTTGATTCGAACGTTACTTTTGATTGTAGTCTCGATTAAGGAGGGAAATAAATATTCGGCGACCTTTCCCGGAATCGAGCGAACTCAAACCGCGAGTATAATCGAAGGCTGTCGTTAAACTATTTACGTACATCGACGAGAATGCGAACCTCTTCCTGCCTGCGGAAATCTCGACGAATAACGTAACGTAAAGTTTAAACCCGCACTCGAGTAACGCAATCTTTTCAGGGAGGGATTAATTAAACTTTTAATTAAACGTTTAATTAACCCCGTGACCCGAGACCTCGACAAAGGGCCTGCGATCGGGAATAAATTTCGATTGGCGAACATTCAAATAATGAATTATGCGAAATGAATATATTAAAAATTGGGAAAAATTCGATTCCTTGATTCGCCCATTAAACCTCTACTTAATAATACCTTCAGCCGATAGACTTTAATAAAGAATCGAGAAATTATAGTCATTACGCAGTGAAACGTGTTAAATTAACAATTCCCATTGAGGTCACAGTGAAGTTCATACTACGAGTCTAGGTATAGGTGCAATTGTTTCACGCGTGGTTGCTGCTTAACTGCAATTCTACGAGGATATAAACGAAAATATATGCAGAATCCATCTGGCTCGGTGGTTTTACACTTTAAGTTAATATCGGTTATTTCGGGGGGATAATAAAGTTTTAAGGTGAAATTGCTTAACGATAGAGATCGTCGCCGGGAATGTTCGGCCGATAGGAGGCTCGGGTTGCGATTTCATCGATCCGGCGAATGGCGGGAAAATTGCCTCTAGGTGTAGTAATCACTCGATAAAGGATTACGGACGGGAAATCGGCGGTTGCAAACCGTTGCCGGGTGGTATTTTATTGTTTATCCCGAGATTTAGGAGAATCGTTTCTCGGCTGGTTCGGGCTGGCGAATTGCTTTCATTGCCTCGTTTACGATCGTGTAATACTTTGTTACACCCCGACGTTGAGAAACCCCACTCCTGCGTGTATTATAATCGTAATCGTATGATTCAACAGGTATGTCGTAATGTGTGCATATAAATTCACGGGAAAAATGGCGTTGCGCGCGGCGTGTTACACAGAGGGGATTATCGGCCGGCATTAAATATGATCTACATTGCAAAAGATAATAGACTCTGATTGAATTTTCATTCCCCGCGTCTCGAGGCGATGCAACGCCACAGGGGAAACATTTGTGCAGCTGCATTTCCTTTTATCAATTAATCGTTATCAATTGAACGTTGAAATTTGTAGACCTTAAATACACGATATACTTTAATATGTATGAGGTTCTTTTAGGCCTTAAAAGTGGCGGATATTCCCATTTTCTTTCTCCACCCATGCGCCTAAAGCAAGATTTAATTTGTATCAAGTACGTGCAAGATCGCAAGTAAGACTTAAAAAAGTAAAGTAGATCTGAAAGTGAGTTAACTTATGTCAACGAGAATTCGAAACAAGGCTGAAATTTCGACTCGGGCATGCACCTCGAGTACGTTAAAAAATGATCGCGCATTGTCGCAACCCATCGACCGGTTTCGTAACGCGCGAATACTCGATATATCGCTGGCATCGTCAATTATTATCTCCTTCTCAAATTCTAATGACATTACGTGCCCTGTAATGTCATATGCCTAAGCTTGAGTTACATTGAAATTACCGCAGGACCTCGTCAGCGAGCGATATTGTAAGCGACCTGGAGAACGCCCCCGCTTATTTACTTCCTCGTTTTATTACTTTTTCTCTCCCTCTTCCTCTTTTTTGAGACCCGGAGAGAGAGAAACGGAGGCGTAAAAAATTCGATGAAAGATGACGAGGGAAGCTCGCCAGCCGTGATTGACTCTCGATCGGTCGAAGAGCACGCTTGTGTCGAATGGATCGAATGACTCCGCACCGTTGGACTGCATTTTTCCTAGGTGGAAACGAGTTCTGTTGGTTGCAGTCTTTGGTGAGGCTACTTTTCCTTTCAGCCTCTTACGAAATGCATCGCTCGGTCTCGAGACACCGGCAGGCTCGACCTGCCTCGAAACTTCCATAGTTATCGCCGTCGTCCTCGGATTTTCGAAAGGACGATCGTTTCCCGATTATCCTGGGGACGAGGAATATATCAAGCACATTTCGAAAGGGAAGACATATCGCCGGTAGTCCTTCGACTCCGAAAGGCTGCATTTCACTGCCGCGCTGAATCCTAGACAGATGCACTTGGAAAAATTGCGAAGTCGTTGACACTCATGCCAAACTCGAATTTTCACGATTTTTGTGAGCGCGGCTTGTTAACGAATGTTCGGTAATGAGACGTTTTTTTTTTTTAAATTATGTGTTAAAAGTAGGAAAAGTGGGGAAAAAATGGAAAATTCAAATTTTCGTGAATTTTTTATGGGGAATTCCTGTGAATAATTGCAATGAAGCCGTTGTCTGCTTTCCTGCATTTCGTTGGTTACGTTGTTCGGAATCGTCGAATATTTTGCTCCTTTTTCCGGATGTAGAATCGCTCTCCATAAGCGGAGGAAATACGTACTTAGAGTCAGGGGGCGAAATAGTCACCGGCGAGTGACAAGGCGTACGGCACCGTACTATTAATGTCCAATTCCTCTTAATATCGGTCGTATTCCGTGCCCTGCGTAAACATTCGAGAAAATCTTAGTGAAAGGACTGGATAAGATTTCGAGTCGTGCAAAACGTAGGCCAGGAAGGAGAGCGCAGGTTCGGCAGGGGCGAGAGATCACGGCGGAAAGGAGAAAAAGCCCGCGCCATGTCAGACATGGAAAGAACTCCTTAGGTCGGTTTTTCGAAATATGTAAAAACCGAAATAACGATGAGAAAATAAAAAATGGAAGGAGATGCATAAAAAAGATTCGCCAGACGGCACCCCTCTCTTCATCGAGGTGGAGGAAGCTCGAGTTGGCTCGCTTCTAGCTGAAGTCATCACCCCGATGTGAACGACTGCTCCTAGGTAGAGTGTAATAAATAACTCCGAGGAATCGGTTTCAATTTACTACACTTGGCATCGTGTCAAGCACCTTGGCTGACTTTGTGTACATGTCTTTTACAAGGGGAGCCAAGAAAGAGTGGAGGAGCCACCTTGGATCATCGAACGAGGCGACGTTACTTAATCCTTGCCGTTTCATTCTTTTTTCCCCTTTCAGATGGCGCTCCTTATACACACGATCGTCGATGGCTACCACGACTTGATGAACAACAAAAGCGACCCCAGGGTGAACGATTGGTTCATGATGAGCAGCCCGTTCCCCACGTTAGCTATATGCCTATTTTACGCCTACTTCGTCAAGGTCCTCGGACCTACGCTCATGGAGAACAGGAAACCTTTCGACCTCAGGAGGGTCATGATATTTTATAATCTCTTCCAAGTTGTGTTCTCCACGTGGCTCTTCTACGAGGTACGTAAACAAATTACGATTTTACGGAATTTTTCTAATTATATAGAATTTTTCGTTGCGTCCCATGGACACGAAGTTTGGGTCTACGGGCAAAATCGGTCTTGGTCTTATGGGCTTAGCCTTGGTCCACACAGGAAAATATTCGGTTGAGTAAATACATTTTTTTCTGTTGATTTAACCATAGGATAATGGTTATTACACAGGCAATCAAATATTTGAGCGGCATGACTAAATTCATTGGGTATACATTTTTGGCCCATTGTAAATGAACGAAATTTCTTTTCTTTTTTCTGCGTATCTAGCACACTTTGCAATACCGTGCAAAATCAGGAGCGAGACTGCAAGACCGAGACCGAAATTGCTCATCACTGTCTGTGTCTTCTCGGAGGGTACGGTGTAATTATACGTTTCGCATTTCAGAGCCTGGCGTCTGGATGGTGGGGCCATTACTCGTTTAGGTGTCAGCCAGTGGATTACTCTCATAACCCGAGAGCCATAAGGATGGCAAGGGGGTGCTGGTGGTACTACTTCTCCAAGTTCACCGAGTTCGCCGACACGATATTCTTCGTCCTCAGGAAGAAGAGCAACCACATTTCGACGCTGCACGTAATCCACCATGGTTGCATGCCCATGTCCGTATGGTTCGGCGTCAAGTTCACCCCAGGTACGAGATTCTATAGCGATCATTAAAAAAGCCTAGATTAAAATTGTCCATTTTTAAGGTGACGTAAAAGAGGCCTCCGAAGCGTCAAATTATATTATAAACCTATTCGCCGAAATCGTTCCAAGATCCTGACACCCGTGAAATGTGAAATTTCATGAAAAATTAAAAAAAAAATACCTATAAAGAAATTTAAAAAAAAATGAAATTTTATGGCCGTCAAGACCTTCCTTACAGCCTCCATATACACATTGTAAGGTTTGAAACGACTTGATAAACCCAGTTCGGAGGAAACTTTCGTAAACGAGATCTCTTTGGCGGCACTTTCGCATCGCCTTAATTTCCCGATTAAATGATAATTGCCCGAAGCCAATTATAGCGAAATCATCGAATTACCGAATAGTTGTCTCGATTACAGGTGGCCACAGCACCTTCTTCGGGCTGCTGAACACGTTCGTGCACATCGTGATGTACTCGTACTATCTGTTGGCTGCCCTGGGACCTCGGATCCAGCCTTACCTCTGGTGGAAGAAGTACCTGACCGCCCTGCAGATGGTCCAGTTCGTCCTGGTGATGGTCCACGCGTTCCAGCTGCTCTTCGTCGACTGCAACTATCCGAAAGCGTTCGTCTGGTGGATCGGGATGCACGCGATAATGTTCTACTTCCTCTTCAGAAACTTCTACAGGGAGACCTACAAGAGGAAGGAGAAGGCGAGGCTAGTCAATGCAAGCAAAAGGGCCGAGGCCGAATACGCGAAGCGCAACGGCGAGGTCAAGAGCAAGGAGGCCGAGGATAAGGTCATCTACGCGAACCAGTACAAAATGGCGACGGGCTACATATCCGACAACGTGATGAGAAATCGGGTCTTCATCGACAATCGGGGCTTCGTAGAATGAGAGGTCGCCGCGGGGCCCGTCACCTTCCGGTATTAGGAGGATCGCGATGGATTTTTTGGGAAACCCGGACACTGAGAGTCGTCCCCGGATCGATCCGTCGACGGAGATTTTGTCGACGGTGGGGACGAGCTATGGGCGATTCCGATCCTTCCTGGGACGACGAGTCCTGCGACCGCCCGACAACCGATCCTAGATACTCGGGCCTCGGCGGACTCGCCGGTCCTTTGTGGTCCTTTTTGCGCCATCGGCAGCGCACACCGGTCAACCGGGTGCCGGGGACTTCTAGTTTGAGCGCTCATGTCTACCGGCCGGTCTCGCCGATTCTAAGGGGTCTACGATCCCTGGAGATTGGTGGGGATCGCTCCGGTCGACCCTGCGGAATAAGGGAAAACTTGTAATCCTTTGATCAGGGGAGCGCTGGGAGAGTGGTCGGTTCTCTGTCGGTAGGAGACTCCCTAGGGCTCAGCGGTGGCGGGGCGCTCGTTCTTCGTAGTGCATTTATGACGAGTCCGGCAGAACTCCTGCCGAGGATCAGCTGATCGGCGATTTGAAGTCTGCCGATCGGTGATTTTGCGTTAGCTGGTCGGCAATCTCGTGTCAGCTGATCTACGATTTTGCTTCTGCTAATCGACGATTTTACGTCGGCTGATCGGCAATGTCGCATCCGCTGATCGGCTTCGAAATGCGAACTATCGACGGCGATCATTCGCGATCCGTGGCAACGAATTCGGGGGTCATCGCCCTGAATCATCTGCGCTCGCGAGCAACGACCATTCGTCGAGTCGTTGAGTCCTTGGATTCGAGAATTTCTCCGAACACGGGAAGTTTCGAATGCGGACTGATCGGATGATCGTCAATGACGGTCTTGGGCAGGAGGGATGACTTCGGACTCGTTAACTCTTGGCGGAGGACGCGGGGAACCACGTGCACTTCCGGAAGTGGATCCAAAATGCGAGGAGGCCTTGAGGTCTCGTTTTAAGGTCGTAGGAAAGTCGGTATTTCTCTCGATGGACCGGAAATGTGGAGCAACTAATCATTGGCTAATTATTTAATCTCACGCACCTTGAGAGTGATAAAAGCTTCTTAACGATTTTCAAAACACACGCCGACTGATTTTATCCCATTGACAAATTCGTACTATGGAGAAGACGTCGAAATTTCTGTTGGCTCGATTGTAGGCATTTTATATATGATAAAGCGAGGAAGGAAAAGATAATGGCATATAATTTGTAACTACCTCGAGTCTCAAGGATAAGTCGTGATTTTAGAGGGAGATCTGCGGAAATGTAAATTCGAATAATCAGGAATAACGTTACTATTGAAAATCGATCACTGTCGAAAATCTGCGAAATGTGTAAAGTTTGAAAACTAGGTGAGCAAAAATTCGACTTCGGACCGACACTTCCGGGATTGAATGGCGGAAAGTGGGGGCTGAGAAGGGAAATTGGTATTTTACTTAAATGATTAAATGATGAGGAATGGCGATTTTTGGAAATGTTCGCAAGGTATGCCGACTTTCGAGATTGCGAAGGACAACGGGCTTTAATCCATCGAAGGAAAAAGGAAATTGGCACGGTGGGATGGTTCGGAAAAGCGAATCGCAATTGGGGAAACTGCCTCCATCTTCGAGTACCATTAGTCAAATCTCGGCCCAGTAATAGCGATTAAGAGTAACGCAATTATACATATCGTCGTTAGCATAGGATTTAACGTTGTACAGGCGTTTTAGCGTGTTATTCTTTCGAGATATCTTGTCAACGGGCGAAAAGGGAGGAGAAAAATTGACATGCGATTTCTGCGTGGACTTGCACGTACCACTTTCCATGTTTCTTTTTCTCTTTCCTTGTACTTAAGACCCTTTTATCAATAGAAGCTCGAGGATGCGGTATCGAATCCTGCTGTGGAGACCTTCCGAATTGTAAATTCATAACGTGCGAGGCGTAAATGTTACGGGTTAAGTCTCGATTATAGATTTAAGGATAGAAACTTCGAACGCCTAGGATAAGTATTTTTGTATCATACGAGAGCGCGATCCAGTGCAGTGGGTGTATTTATTTTCTCAGAATAAAAACATTGTGTTCTTTGCATTAAGCCGGGCCCTTTACCTTCGGGTCACTTCTGAGCATTGTGAATGGACTCATGCCTGGTAGAAGAAAGTAAGACGTGCTCGACTTGTAAGGAATTAATGTACGTTCTTCTTTGTCGCCTATCGATGGGGTGAGAAGCCGCCATCTTGGTTTTCCGGCAGCCTGAAGACCGTTCCTTTATGTGAACCGGTAAGGAAATAAATAATGGAATTAATGTACATTCCTCTTTGTCGCCTATCGATGGGGTGAGAAGCCGCCATCTTGGTTTTCCGGCAGCCTGAAGACCTTTATGTGAACTGGTACGGAAATAAATAATGATCCATAGCACGTTCCCTTCTACCATCGGTAAGTTCCCATATTGCGCGATGAGTCCGGGAACTACTTTGCCGGCCATCGGTAAGAGAAATGGAAACGTCTCGCAATTTTCACGGTACTGATATACCGACCATCGGTCAAGTTGTATCGCCGTCGGGGATTCCTCCGCCATTTAGGATATCCGTAAGCGTCGCTGTAGCTCACTTGTCTAGCTCTAAACGTAACAATTAAGGATAATAGATATTCTTCGGGGACGGAAGTCCAGACAAGGCGTCCTTGCTCGAGTTATCGGACTCTATCGCGGTGGATTACTTGATGACGACCAGCGCGAGCTGCAATTTTATTTTACTTTATCCTAACCAGCCGCGTCCTGGCGTGACGGGATTACGCTACATCGAGATGTATCCCTACTTGTAGGATGTAGAAAACGAATTGCGAGTTGAAACGACCCGAATGTCAGTTTCGTTCGTCGCCACTTGTCGGCGAGTAATCCGTCGGCATGGCTCGATTTAATTTCCGCACTCGGGGGGGACCCAAGGGCCACTTCTCCTCTGGGCCACAAACTCGACCCGACATTACGCGATTACGTAAACTCTTCCGAGTCGGCGTGCAATCGCGGTTTGATATTTCATGATCGAATTCATTACGACACAGGGCCTGGCCGCAGGAGGACGCGAGAAAGCGTTGAAATTACCTCCGGGACGTTGGCAGGAATTTTTCAACGGCGCGGTCATCTTTCTCGGAAACACCCAGAATCATCAATCCGACGTACGAAGGACTTTCCCCCGGACGTCTAAAACTTAATGACATTTATGCAGAATTTTTAAGATTATATGAAAGAGCCATTCTGTATATACCGAAACGTGATAATATTTATAATACCTTTCTCGAAAGTGGATCCACCGAATTATCTGAAACTTTAACACGTGGCTATAGAGTCTCTTATATGTAGTGGGTTGTGATAGGATGCGCTTATATGTGCATTTGTTTATCAGTGATATCATCCCCCTTCGCTTTCATCCCTATCTTCGACCGGTCCTTCAGATCTCGAGATATCAACTTGACCTGGGGAATAAAGGGAATTGAAAAGTGCGCCGATAGCGCGAGATTTCGCGCTGTCGGCCAATCGGTCCCCCAGATGAAGTGAATTTTCAATAGTGAAAGTCCCCGGGACCAGGGTGAAAGTTTAAGCCGCGCAGACCGCAAATCCGGGCACCGCTTAAAGGGGCCGCCACAACGACCGACGCGATTCCCCGGTTGGTCGCGTCACACCAGTGTTACGTGTCACGGTGTTACGAGTCCCCGGTTTATGACGACCTGGTAGTCGCGGACGTGAACGGGCCATTCGGAGAGGATGGACACGCCGCAGGCCTTGGAAAGGTCGCTGGGTGGACTCTTCAGGGCGTGATCTCGGGTCAGATCTCAATTCGGGTCAATGGATGTCTACGAATGCTTGATCGAGGAGACATGCGCCATGTACGTTCGACCTGCGATACTGAATAAAACGTGGAAAATTGCACAGAATGGTGGACAAATTATACAGATTGTTATGAGGCGAGAATTCTTGCAAAGCCGATTCGACATCCACTGTATACGCGGAGTGAAGTTCTCCCTCGGTGGAAAATTTTTATTAAGATTTCAATTCAACAAGAACGGAGTGGAACAAGACGGAGTGGAACAATCGTTTATGACAGAATTGTAGAAAAATTAATTCATTAGGTTTTATACGTATTATTCAAGAAGAAATCGTGGAATACACATGTGACGTTAATAAATTGCACATCTTATTTAAAAAATGTCAATCGAAAATCTATTCGACGAGAAGTCCTGCACGGAACTTATTCGAGATTCACTACTCAGTGCGCAATCAAATGAAATCCTCGTTTCAGATACGAAATTTTATTTAAATTGTAGAGAGATGAAATCTTATAGGAATTGCCGCCCGTCGATGCGAGTCTGAAAGAAAAAAGAAAAATTATGGGAGGCGTGTTGGATCCGTTATAAAAGATCAGAGTTTATGGTATATCGAGATCATTTTTTGCCGGAGAAATTGACGGCAATTTTGGAAGATTGGGACCCGGTCGTTGGCGCTACGGTTATATAAGTCCTGTCAGGATATTTTAGAAATTCCTCCCAGCAAGGGAAACAGGTTGACCTAAATTGCGGGTAATGAGAAAGTGCAAGATAGGTGGATAGCGGAGAATGCGTGGCTTATCGCTCTTATTGGAAGACGGACGCCACCGATGCTCGATATCGAAGCGACGTGCGATTTAAAATGTAAACCTCGAATTATTCCCTGGGAAATTTCCACCCCCTGTGCTGACCTGGGACGTGCGTATTTCCCGACACGTTTTTCCGCAGAGCCGATCATAACTTTCCACCAGACCGTTCCATGACAAGTCAAGACGTCAGGTATGGCTGTGACGCAATGGCGATTTCCATACTTGTATCGAATCAATATCAATCCGTTATTCGTCCTTAATGATGCTGGAGCGACCAATCGCTTTACGTAGATCTGCAAAATAAACAGGAATAACCACGACTTCCGGAAAATGTATCACGTTTACCCCAAGTTCACCTGCGGCGTTTCGCTCTCGCTTAGGCGGCGATTTTCTGGCTTAACTATCCATGGTATGGAAAATAGGCTTTTACAAAAGGTGTCGAGAATGACGAGAGGAACAACTTTCGTTCAGGTGACTTTTTGACACCGAGGCCCGATGTCACTGTGTTTACCTGAAAAAGGAGAAAGTCATCAACCACGCCCATTCCTCGATTCGCCGGGGATTCAGTTATGATCGGAATTCCGTCATTTTTCTTCGGTTTAGAAGAAGAAAAAAGAAAAAAAAGGAGAACGATCGGGAATTCGATGCTGACGAAAAATACAAAACAGTTTTAAACATTCAGATAGATACAATTCGTACGCATCTCTTGCGTCAATAGCGTTACATAATCGGACCTACCTCGGCCCCGTGAAGTGGAAACTTTTTTTTTATAAACAATGACAAGATCGTGTGGCATTGAATTATGCGATCGCACTTATTGACCTTTCAAGTATTAGTGGTTAAAGTGGAACGTATATACATATCGGCGGAAATCGAGACGTTACGGAAAAAGTTCCGATCGATTTGGAAGTCGAAGTGCAATTAACAATGCAAATTATTATGACGCTCATTTCTTTTTTCTTATTATTAGCTACGCAATGTAATATCACTTAATTTGTAATAAAGTGCATAATCTCGCTCGATGATTGTCCGGTAGATAAGTTTTTCAGGATGAATAAATTGACGTAAAAATTCAATAATGCAAAGAGACGTTCGTTTTGATACTAGGAAATTTTTCTTCCTAGCGAATTTAAATATAAAAAATGACGCCGAGAGCGTTGACCTTGAATACCTCTAAAAAAGACTGAGATTTAAATGAATGAAAAAAAAGCGCCACCTCCGTAAAAAGTGGCAAATATTAGCTCTTAATCGCGAGATATTTGTAAATGGAAAAAGAAAATCAAACAAATTACTAGTCAGTGACGCAAGTCGTAATGTTGGTAAGCACAGTTTTGGAGTATTTAGCTTCTTCCCAATAAAAAAATTAGCAGTGACGCCGTCGCTATTAGCAAGAAGATTTGAGGAATAATTAGGCGTTCCTTCAAATCCTTTTAACTAGGTAATGGGGAAAAAAAAGAAGCATAGATGTCTCCTTAATTTGGTTAGGATATAGAGTCCTTTGAGCCGTGAGAAAATATAATATGCTAATGCAATCCGTAAAATGAGGAAAATTCAGTCATAAGTGATAATGACCGGCGCCAAAGTTAAGTACTCCTGGGGTTACAAACTGAAATGTTCATTACCTCCTTAAAACGACATTATACTAACAGTAGTTAGCGTAATAGTCCATTGACTGCTGGTTACTGCTACACAAGGTGCACCGACGGTCAAGTACCATTTTAATGATAATGGTTTAATTAAAGAACCTTAACTTTCTATCTCCCCTATATTTTACAATTTCCAACAATGTAGCAAATGAAATCTCTCCAAATAGCGCATGTTCAGCCAGAAGTAACGAGAAATGACCTCGAAGAATTCGGATCCAGGAAGCATTGTTACAGGTGAAATCGGGATGTTTCCACGGATAACGAAACGCCGCATTTCCATTTCTACGTCGAGGAAACTTTTTCTGTATCTCGGTCTCGGCGGAATAACACCAACTCTGGAATAATTTAACGCAGTAATCGATTCGGCCCAGAGGTCCTATTTGGTCGTGGAAGTGAGGCAAACTTTCAGGAGCCAATCCAGGATTATTCAGTCGTAAAATAAATGCATGATTTGCGATTGCCCAAATGTCAGACGAAGAGGAAAGTACTTTCCGCAGGAAAGAAAAAAGTGCACATGAATCCAAGAGATATAAAAAAAGAAAAAAAGTAGAAGATGAATTCTTAGCTTACGGATATGATACATAATATATGTATATCGTAGATATCTACAATAGATGATCTATAGATTCATATGTGAAAAAATCCGAGTATGGACTAATTTTTATCACGTTGGAATTTAGAGATAAACATTAAGTATGTATGAAAAATGTTAGGTTACATGAGATGTCTGATTATTTTTCTAAACGTATTTTCAACGACGTTGATTAACTTCTAGTAGTTTTCTACTAGAGCTATATTTTGTATGCGTCAAGAAATAAGTATATAAGTATATAATTTTCGTCTACAACAGATATAGATATTTATATATATCCTTTAGATATTTTTTTTGTAGGTGGATGATAGACGATATACATTTGTTATACCTGTAGGCCTAATTTAGACGATTAATTTACGTATATTCCACTTCATGGGTTGCCTGGGTACGTGGCCCAGTTGGTCAATCCGATTGCCAAAGGTACTCCAGACGAAGCTCTAGCTCGACCGTAAACGCGAGGACCCGACTACCACGAAGAAATAGTCCAGGCCAGCATCCGTGCCCATTGAAAACAGGTAGGATCACTTTCGCTGACCGCCGTGTCTCTCCGTGACTTGCATAACCCACGGCAAGGCTGTTACGAGGTGACTCCTGCTCTTTCCTTACCGAAGTAAGACCTCGCTCCCTCTCTCTCTTACCTTCCGCACCCAGCTAGCTTCGTCCTCTTCCTCTCATTCCAGGTCGTTCCTTCAGAGAGAGCTTTCTTCGAGTCGCGAACCCCAGGGCGGTGTCGCCAGCTCCGTGTGCCTTGTGATTCTCGGCAGATTTGCAAATTTGCAAATTTGCAAATTTACATTAAATCTATAATTCGTTTCCTACTCCCGAGCTCGTACGATTAAGGTGGTGACGCGACTTTGCAACAGTGCCAAATCTTTTCAAGCAAGTCTATTCGTATGCGAAAAAATTCTGCGTGGACTCGAGTTCCTCGTCCACGTGTATCGCCTGTCTCCGACGTCATCTACGAGGAGTCCATCATAATTCCTGATTTAGAATGCGAAAACGTTTCCTTGCTCGCTCAGGTTTCTGCAGAAAGCATCGCTGAAGCTTTCGAAAATTGTCTCGCGTTATGGTTGACCGTCTCCGAGTGCAAGACATTATTACTAATGTAGGAATGGCGTGTGTATGTACGATACTAGCCGGGCACATTAATTGCTGCGGTGGCCAGGAAGAACATTGCGGTGACCAGTGTCGACTGCTCGGAGAAATTTGCTCTCGTTGCATGGCAGTTCTGCTGAGCCAACAAATTATTTCGCCGTCCCAGCTGGTCCTGCGTTTGCGGCCCCCTGTCCTGGCGATTCCCTGTTTTAGTGATGAAAATGTATGAGTATATATTATTTACACGAAATACTCCACGGAGAAGTATTGCGATTCAATAATGAAACGAAACAGACAAGTAGTTTCTTTTCTACGCTGATGAAAATAGATGGAAATTTATGTACACTTTGACACAACTCGTAACCGCAATTTCACGTAAAAAAACGTAAAATGGAAAAATCACAAATGCAAAAATTTACATATACTCATAAGGATGTATAATTACCGAGGGACTATTCACTCAGAAATGTTAATATTCGAAGTACATGAAAATCAGTCGGAACATTGGCTTCAACTAAGTGTAACATTACATTATAATTTTCTTATCTTAATTCAGATTCTGAATGTGATTTTACAGAGGCGATATAATGTTTCTGCGATTTACCTTGACATTAAAATAACCAATGATTTGAGTATGTAAATTGACTTGGGCATTTTGATCAGAGTACAGCCGTCCCTTTCCTCTGACTGGTCGCTAATTGAGCCATCATTTAATCGATTTCCGGATTGAGAGTATATGATTAGCCGAAGTCCACGTGATCAAGGTTGCACGGCTTGATCTAAGAATTTGCGAGTTTTTTGCCCTTTCTCATTTATAATCCGTACCGAGAGGTCTATCAACGGTGTCATGCGGAATTATTGGCCGCCTGGTCGACGATTTCCCCGTGGAGAAATCGAAGATGCGGATCTATTTACAGTACTCGTCCTTCGGGATTCTTTCGAGTCATGGAGCTCGTGCGAGACGAGCGACCCGGTGCGTCAGTGTGCGTATGCTTATTTTATACATAACTGCGTAAGCACTTGTAAGTTCGCACGACTTGCGTGCGGTGACGTAATGAATAAACAATACCGCGATTTCAGTCGTTTAATGTTCGCTTCGATTAATTTCTCCTTCCCTTGAGGTCACTAAAAACAAAACCGGTTCAACGAAGTCGTGAAATCAGGAAATCGATGGATTCAGGGCGACATTGAATTAAAAACTGAATGAAATAAATTTGAAAAAATGTTTACCATTTTATTGTTACTGTGAGAGGGCAATGGTCATGCACGTTGCACCTCTTCGATCCTTTGGAAAAGTTCAAGCCAATTGTCCAGTCGTTACGTCTCCGATTTTGCAGGCAAGGGATTTTTATTGCCAAGGTTTTCCATTGTCGAGCTCGTGCAGCTGCAAAAGCAAAGCTTTAGTATCGTCCCTGATGTTTCTTAAAAAGTATCCTTCGCACCGTTGACGCGTCTTCGGCAATAAATTAGGAAGCCTTCAGGACATAATTGAAAACGGACATTTTTAGACAGCAAAAAGGGCAGGGCTTCCATTTTTCAATGAAACAAAATTACTTGCGCATTTTAACGCGTCTCACAGTGGTCCAAAGTGTATTATTAAGGCGACAATATCGACGTTTCAGCAATTACACGGCCAAGTAAAGAGTACTTCTAAGCCTTCGATAGGGACATTCACCTTGTTCCAACCTGTTTGTTTCGAAGCCCACCTAGGCTTAACCTCGTGCAGCCATTCGATACGTGTATTACATTACCATTTACGCGGTTTACACGAGCGGTTACAGTGTTAGGTTAGGATGGCCGGTACATGCGCGGAAGCGCGTTGGTGCAAACATCAGTAGCAACAAATCTGGAAAGAACCGAAGAAACGTTGATTTAGCCTTTGCGATGGTTAACTGCAAATGGTTAACATTTACATTTACATTACAGAGGGTTAACTGTATTACAAATATTTCTTTACTGTCGCTTATGATTTTGCAATCGATCGGGACTTTCCTGATGTCTGCAAATCCCTAAAGAAGAGTACAAGTGCCAAACGTCGACCGTGGGCGTAATCTCGATGATGCGTTGTTTTGAAAAGCCCGTGGACATAACCTCCCTGCATAATGCGACGCTGATATTTGATTACATTGCCGTTTATGAGAGGTTTACGCAGCAGTTACGAAGTAAAGTATGCCGCGGCTTCTCGGGACAAAGGTTATGGATCTGAGAAGAAAAGGACGTTACGTATCGCTGCGTGGGTGAAGCTCGAGAAAGGACCAAATGGCGGCCATCTTTCTTTGTCGCGTTCTCGCATTTAACCCTTTGCGGTCCTGAGTCGAGCATGACTCGACAATTACAAGGCAATTTCAGAAACTCGAACCGCAAAGGGTTAAATGGGTATAAAACATTTTTAAGTACACTGTAACGGCCTTTTCCAGTACCTCGGGTAACAAGAGGAAGCATAACGGTAAGAATTGGGCAATTAAATTGCCGAAATAGGACGCCATATTGAATTTTCTGCACCGTCATTGACGCTTCTCATATTCCTCGAGGTACCTATGAAGGTCTTTATTGCCGTCTTTTACAATTTGTACGTACTTAAAACCAACCGATTCTTCGATTAGAGAGTTTCGATTTCACCGATGCATCGATTTGAAAATTTCAATCTGACCGATGCATCGATCATTAAAATTTTGCAGCTCCGCAAACGGAATCGATTTATTATTGTGAAAAGTCGCCATCAACAGCCCCGTTTTGAAAAGCTCGTGGACCAACTTAACCTCACCGTGTCGTCGGTATTACGTTACCGTTTACGCGAGGTTGACTTGGCGGTCGGAGCGAGGTACAACATACATACACTTTGGCGCGGCAGGGCAGAGGTCGGTGGAGGAGGCTGAGGTTAGGGTAGCGCCGATCTGCGCACGCGCAGGCCGCCGGGAGCAGACGCCGGCGGTGGCGGCGCGGGGCGGCGACGGCGGGCACCAAAATCGCTGGTGCGGCTCCTCGGGCGAATAGTCGTAGCTCGAGGCCGGTGACGTTCGGACGGGCTCGCGGTAGTCACGGAGCGAGCCAGAGGCGGACCGAGAGAGAAAGAGAGAGGCGGCCCAGGTGCGTGGAACGAGGAGCCTCGACGTGCCACGAGGTACGCGCCGCGTCGACTCTCGGCGTCGTCCCAGTCGCGAGCGGAGCCGAGTAAGAGAGAGACGGAGGGTGCGTCCGCGTCGCCGAGGAAGCGCGAGACCGAGCGGACGAGCGCCGGCTCGAGGCCCGTTCGCCCTGGCCGGGGGTATATGACAGTATTGACAGTATATGTGTGCCGGCAGGTGACGAGAGGTGCGCGGTGACTGGAGCCGCCCGAGGTGCCCGGAGGCGCGACGAGGAGCTCGGACGAGCAGGTGGGTGTAGTCCCGGGAGACTCGAGCGGACGCGATGCGTCGGAATTCCTGGCACGCGCCAGCGCGTCCCGAGCTGCTCGGAGGTTAGGCCGGAGTCCCACCGAGCGCGGCGGGTGTCGCACCGGGCGCGGCGCGGCACCGCTTCGGGCATGGAAAACCAATCGGAGGTGCCCGCAATCCGACGTCACTTCCGGCACGGTTCCGATTGGCGCTTCCACTTCGACGCGTCGACGCGCCGCGCTCCGTCGGACACCCGGAGGAATGCCTTTCCGCGTCCGAGGACGTTTAAATATGCATTCATGGCCCGTTAGCGCCACGTCCGGGGCCGAGGTTCCCTGACCTCGACGCGAGCGGCCTCCGGGAGGTTAACGTTCCCTCGGTATTAGGTGTCGGAATCGCTAAACCGCCGCGTTTTTCCCGCACCTCGTGACACGCGAAGTCCGGCCGACTCGTGATCCATGATCCGAGGAGAGGTTAGGATTCCGCGGGAAATCGATTCCTCGGGACGGCGCCGCTCGTCTAGCCGGCTGCGGCGACGCTCCGTGGACGCAGAAACCCGAGCGGTCGGGCCTGCCGGCCTATGCGCGCGCATCCACGACGCACAAGGTTAGGTTAGGTTCCCCGCGATCGCGCGCGATCGCGTGCCAGAGCCCGATGGGGTGCGAACGACACGAACCGTGCCGAGGTAAAAATACGAAAGAGTTTCAGCTCGGAAATTCTTGGAGGGTTAAATGAGAGAACGCAACAATGGGAATTATCGGATGGCGTCGGTAGGGCGTGAATTTATCGACCATTTCTTGAGAATTTACGGGATTGAGGGGCGAGCAATATTTAATGCGGAACTTTCACTTGGGTATGTGCCATGTGTTTGGTGTGTGTAAATGAACCTTTATTTTATGGACGTAAAACCTTGTAGGGCTTGCGGAAACGTGTAAATGCCGTGAAATCTGAAAGAGACAAAGTCGCCTTGCCCAAAAAAGTCTACAGTCCATCCAGGTGGACTTTGTACCACATCCGCGTCCCGTGGAATTCCTCTGACGCAGGTTGATCAAGAAATATGTTTTTTTTTTATCACCTTTGAACGCCATCACTGGTGACCGCTAGACCCAACGATCGAAATCCTGAAGAGAGGGAAAAAAACAATCGAATTTTTTCAATAATCCTTCCGATGTAGGATTGGTCGTGAAATATGTTTTTTTTGTCCGGTGCCGAACTCGGTTTCCGAGTGAAACAATATACGTTGCTAAGCGCATTTTCGCCCTAGTTACCGTTCCGCGTGTGTATCTATACCCGAGCGTCCTCGGCGTCTTCTCTTCGTACATTATTCAGCGGCCATCCGCGTGGTTGTCTTTCTTTTTTTTTTCTCTCTCTCTCTTTCTTCTTAATCTTTTTTCGTCCCTTTTTTTCCCACACGCCGGACGGCCGAGACAAATGTTAAGTCGAACTCCGCTTTGTTTACGGTAAATATTTGTACCTCTCGATGCCACCTGTTGTTCGGGTCGAAGTAAACATTCCAGACCCTCGAATTCCAGATTTTCAGGTTTCTGTTATTCGGACTTCAAGCTTACTTTGGTTTTTCGTCGTTGATTTTCATTCCTTAACTTTATCGAGCGGCAAGGGTAACGGCAAAATCGAATCGCGCTTATCTAAAGATGTCCAGAAATTCAAGGGAGGTTATTTAGATCCATGTGCAGTTTGTTTGTCTCTTGTAACAACCTTATTACTCTGGTTCCAACCAAATTCGAGATGAAATCTTGAAATTCGAAATCTTGCACTATTTCGCTTATCTCGAAATTCAATTTAAATGGGTTAAATATTTCATGTATATTTGTTGCGTTCTTATTAATTATATAAGTTTCTCGTTGTGATCACTCCTGAATCTATTATAGACATGAGTAGTTTCGAAAGGAGATTTTGCGTCGATTTCGCTCGAAGTGGCATTTTCGAAAATTCGACAAGCATCTCGCACATTGTGCAATCCTATATCCGAAAATTTAATTGAGACTGTATATTTATTTATATTCATTTTAAATTACACCTCTTCTAATGAAGTCCATTTGAATTCACTCTCAAAGAACATGGGGTAGGAGTCGTTAACGAAAGATTTTTCGTCGATTTCGTTCGAAGTGGCATTTTCGAAAATCCTTCAGGCATCTCGCGCATTGTGCAATCCGATATCCGAAAATTTAATTGAGACTCTATATTTATTTATATTCATTTTAAATTACACCTCTTCTAATGAAGTCCATTTGAATTCACTCTCAAAGAACATGGGGTAGGAGTCGTTAACGAAAGATTTTTCGTCGATTTCGTTCGAAGTGGCATTTTCGAAAATCCTTCAGGCATCTCGCGCATTGTGCAATCCGATATCCGAAAATTTAATTGAGACTCTATATTTATTTATATTCATTTTAAATTACACCTCTTCTAATGAAGTCCATTTGAATTCACTCTCAAAGAACATGGGGTAGGAGTCGTTAACGAAAGGAGATTTTGCGTCGATTTCGCTCGAAGTGGCATTTTCGAAAATCCTTCAGGCATCTCGCACATTGTGCAATCCGTTTACCGGTTGTATAACTAGCCCACTTCCGGTGGCGGTCGTCTGGCCGCTTCCGGCAACGACAAGGCTCGCTAACTCGCCTGGGTACTTTCTCCGCCGAGACTACTCCCGGCCTCTCCGAACCTGGCGAATTAAAAACAATTAGGTAAAATAATCCGAAGCGGCGATACGTTCGCAGGAAATCCCGTGATCCGATTTGCCTCTCCGGCCGGCGATTATACTTTCGACCCCGGCGCCGTCGTCGCGAATTATTAAGGAGCATTTCATATTTCATTCTTACCTAGGAAGGAGGCTCTTCTTGCCGCGGCGATCATTTTCTTTGCCCCGTTGCTTGGATCGCTTTTTACGCCGGAAATTGAGGATATAACGAAGTCTAGGTGGAATAAATTATTACACGGAAGTGGCAAGTAAGAGGAATTATAACTGGTTTTGTTCTCTCTCTGTCGTGTTACTTGGGTTTCTTATTTCTTTTTCTTTTTTTTTCTCTCTCTATCGCTTTATATGCGAACGAAACATAATATGTATAATATGTAAATGTAAGGACACGACGGAAACCGATTTAGCTGAGGCATGATTTACGTAGAGTTATGTCATTAAGACTGGGTTTTTTTTTGAGGATCTGTCATTATGACTGATTTTTTTTTTTTAGAGGGGTTTCAGGACGCGGAGAGAGACTTATCGAATACAATTTTTTTTCGGAGTGATGAGAGATTGCTCGCTTCGGGGATTTTGTCCTGGATGAAAAATTGATTTGGCGATTGGAAGGGAACTTCGATTGGATTTATTTTCAAGGCTGGATGGAATGGAAAAATATGATTATAATTTATCTTAGAGACTTAGGAGCGAACCGAGGTACCCTAATCGGCGCCGAAGGAGAGTACCTAGATTTTCTGTGGAATAAAAGAAAAAAAAAAAAGAAATAGCACGCAGCTAGAGACGCATCGTAAACGTTTCTACGACTCTGCGTGCGAAGATGCGTGAAAAATTGCTGGGCGTAAAAGATTTAGCGCGAGTCGTTCCTCGAGGTAAGCGTGGTCTGACATCAACAAGTTGCATCGTGCAATTTGCAGGTTTTAAATTCTCGTACGCAGTCGCGAGTAAACGAGGAACTTTTTCTTCTTATTCCTTTTTTTTTTTTTCTTGAAACTGGCGAGAGGGAAAAATCGTTACCAGTGATACACTTAGAGACTTACTGTAATTCGTGATAAATGCAATTCCAATATCGCGCAAGGACTCTCGATGAATTTTTGTTTCTACAAATCAGCCGGTTATTAAGTACCTATTGTTTTGCAGATTTAAAAATTCTTATATGCACCTGCGAGGGGGCGAGGGATTTTTTTTCTTGAAACTGGCGAAAGGGAAAAATTATTACCTTGACACACCTAGGGACTGACTGTAATCCGTGATAAATGCAATTCCAATATCTCGCAAGGACTCTCTGTGAATTTTCTTCTGTTAGTCGGATGGTTATTAAGTACCTGTTGTTTGGCAGGTTTCAAACTCTTGTACGCAGCCGTGAGGAGACAAGGAATTTTTTCTTTCTCGGAGCTGCCGAGAGGAATAAATTGTCGCCATTTACAGATCTAGGAAGGAACTTCAATCCGTGATAAATGCAATTCCAATAACTCGTAAGAACATCTTATGATGTTTTTCGTATCCTATGATTTTTCCGTAAAGCCGACGATTAAACGTCAATCATTTTGCAGTTTTTCAATTTTAGTACGTAGTCGCTCGTGTTTCTTACTCGCTCGTAGACACGAGGAATATTTTCTTGAAACTAGCTGATAGGAGGAAAAAAACTATGACTTATGACATGAATTGAAATTCATGATTACCGCAACTTCAATGTCTCCCAAGAAGGACTCTCGATTAATTTTTTTTCACAAGTTGGACGATAAGAAAATCATCGATATGCAGGTTTCATGTTCCAGTGCGCAGTCGCGGGCCCGTGAGAAAACGAGGAATCTTTTATTGAAACTGACCGATAAGAGGAAAAAATGATTACCGATGATACCACCGGAAATCCGTGATAAATTATTCCGATATCTTGGAAGAAAACCGTCGATTAATTTTCCGCGAAAATTAGATCGTAATCAAATGTCCGTTGATCATTCAGATTTTGAATTTCAATGCGTAGCCGCAAACAGGTGAGAAAAAGTAGAATCTTTTCTCGGAATTGATAAAGAAAAAAAAATTGTTACCAATGGCACGCCCAAGCTCGACCTGAACTCCGTGATAAACGCAATTCCGATATCTTGGAAGGACTCGATTCATTTTTTTTTTCTTTTTTTTTTCCTGCAAATCAGACAGTAATCAAATGTCTATCAAGAGCCTGCGATCCAGCGGAGTGGTGAAATAGACTTTGTCTTTTCCCTCGCCCCTTTGGCCGGAATTTTCCTCACCTCGAGGTATCTCTTCCCGCCCATTAATCCCGACAGGA